GACTCTGCCACTGACTTCCGGATGCAGCTCGGATACAGGATAACCCGCCTGCGGCATGGGCTGCATCGGCTGTGCTGGCTGCACAGGCTGCGCAGGCTGCACAGGCTGCATCTGCTGCGGCGGTGCCTGCAAAGTCTATGCACTCATCTCGGTGTGCGATATGTAGTTTCGAAAAACCACAGTTTCGTGTTCCCCTGTGATGAACTGACACGGACAAGGGAGCCACGACGCCTGCATCTGCTGAGCTTGCATCTGCGGAGCTTGCACAGGCACCGGAGGCACCGGAGGCATCGGAGGTACCGACATCGCCGGCGCCTGGCCCTGCACCGTCACAATCGAAGCATACCATAGAATCGTTGAAACCTGGCACGAGTGATGACCTGAACGCGCCTGAGGCTGCAGCGGCTGCAGGAGCGCGGAGCCGCCTGGTCAGAGCACACGCAGGCAACAGCTGATTCAAGGCACCGCCTGCCTTGCAGCACTTGGCCACCAGTGAGGTGGTTGAAGATGTACTTTCCCGAAGCGGTCGGAAATTCTTGCACCCATGGCCGGGCAGTCATCTGGCAAGCCACCTGGCAGCGCAGGTGTGACAATAGTTGTAGATAACTCAACAGTTACAACTTACAACATCAACGTCACATACAGCAGAAAAAAATGACAGTAAGTCCCGGACGTTGTCAGGGGGAAGGTCCCGATTCAATTTCTGCATCTTGTCCCACAGGTTTCTCCTTATGGCACGGGTTGAGATCACGACAATGTCGCAAACTTCCCACCACCAAGCCGAGGATCCAGTGACCCTGAGATGTCAGATGATCCTTGGCACCTCTCGTCATGACCTTGTTGTCGCAGACGGTGCAAACGCACTCGTAGTTGTTGGGCACCTGTCGCTCTCATCAAATCTTGCAAAGAAGAGCAGGCGAAAGCTAAGCTCTCGTGTCATGGCCGTCTCTGATGACATACAAGGACCTCGGTTCCTACAGCTCCGAACGTGCAAAACATCCCTTCTCACATTGTGTTTCACAGCAGATTGGCATGAAGTGCACCATGATTTCCATGCCTGCTGGACCAAATCCGTCCTACTGGGATCGCAAAACAAAACGCGCAAGCCCTCAGGACGAGTTCACACGAGTGCCACAAGTCTTTCAGACGCCCGTCGGATGCTCACCGGACTGGGCACGATCTCCTGTCTCTCGTGGCAGGCTCCACCCGTTCTTCACCCGTTCTTCACCACGTCTTTTGAGAGGCGACCTCCCCTTTCTTCGAGACCTTCCTTCTGGTCGGGGGTTTTGCACTGCGGTGGCTGAGCAGCTAAGCAAGCTTGATGCTGAAGCAATCGGCTTCAGGAAAAAAGCGGTCGATTGAGCTCGGATCTGGGACAGTCATAGCGCTGGCACGCGAAAACACAAGGATCGCCGATCTCTGCTCATCTCTGCGCTCTCACACACACACAGAGGCACGCACACACCGCTTTGCACCTTCTGTTCCAGCACTGTGGCTGCTGGCTCCTCGCATGTGCAGAGGAGGGAAATCGGCTACTGCAGAGCCAATCAAGCCTGGGGCCATGCCCATGTGCAGCCGGGTCTCCATGAATGTCCGCCACTTGTCCTTGCTCTCACTCAGAGCTTGTCGCCAGCCGGTACCATGGGGCACCATCCTTGAGAGTCGCGGTCGTGATGCGGGTCCACAAGGTGAAAACGAGCTGGCGGACTTCGATGCTACCAAGAGAGCCAAGGGACATGCCAGCAGCATCTGCACTTGGAGACAAAGGCTGCGAAGGCGGCGCACCGGGCTCGGACTCCGGCTGACCGGGAGCTGCAGCCGGACCAGGCGGCATACCTTGACACAGGTCCATGCAAGCAAGGCGGATTCGAAACCCACGGCTATTGCAGTCTGCTAGAATCTGGAAAGCCATGCGAGATAAGCTAGACCAAAGGTTGAAAACATCCTTGGGAGCCCTTAAAAAAAACAAATTGAAACAATAAGAGCATGTCCCAAGCGGCCGACCGCACCATTTCCTGCACCATTGCATGCACTGGCGTATCCCACAGGCTCTGCCCCGGAGATCTCCAGGCCACCCGTCAGATGGTTCAAAATGCACCTGGTATTTGCATCTTTTGTATCATTTTCATGCTCAATTGCGGCAACAAGCCCGCGGAAGAGACGCGGCCAATTGGGACCTGGGCACTTCCCTTGAGGGACCACAAATTCCTGCCACCAGGGCTTTCCTTTCTCCGTCACCACATCTGGCTGGGGCATGTTCTTGCCGACCTTCTTCCACAGCTCGGTCCTGGAATGCCGAATCTTCCCGCGGCTTCTCAACGTGAACAAGTCTCATATGCTACGGCTACGGAAACCGTCTGACCTCTGCAGAATCCACCTACAAGTGCCTCAAACTGTGCTTTCCAAGCTTCCAGTGGTTCTTGGACTTCAAGTGATCGCCAGCGCCACGGGTCATGGCCTTCTGGCAGACAATGCACTCGTGATCGTACCTACCCGTTTTCTCCAGCTCCGCATCCAGCGTAGATCCTGTCTTGTCCTGCGCAACAGCGCCGGCTGGGTTCACAAAAGGGTGAGCTGGGAACCCAGTGCCGCAGCGCTGTCCATGTGCATTCTCCATAGTTCCAGCTGCTGGATGCTCTTGACGTAGCCTCAACAACAAAAGTCGGATGCACAGCAGGTCAGCTGAACGCACCGGTGGAAGGCCTTGGCTGTGTGGAACCAGCAGGCAGCCGCCCGCTGGCCTGTCACACGAGGGTAGCACACCCGAAAGCCTGTCGAGGCCTCTTTCGTAAATTTACCTTGCACCCTGCAGGCTGGAACTGAAATATCTCCCCTGATCGTGTCTGCTACCGGAAGGCCTGGAAGCAGGCATCTCCTGCGCTGAAACATGGCCACAGAATCATTGGAGAATGTCGCGGGGATGCCACATACACTTCAAGACTGGCTTTTTTCACTGGCATCGGGTCCTTAGGTGGAGCTGCCGGGCATTGCATTTGGGCTGCCGGGCATTGCATTTGGGGTGGTCCGGGATGTCCGGGCATCGGCGCAGCGACGCTCATCGGAGTGGGGACACTCTGGAGCGAAGGCGCAATGTTTGGGACGATGTCGCAAAGTCCCCTTAGCAAGGGGTCATGTCGCTGGTCTTGTGAGCCTTGTGTATACTTCAGACCATGCAGAGACAGCCATGCCAATGAAGCGAGCAAGTGTGGCACGGGACTAGTGACTAGTTGCGGCTGTAAGCTTCATTTCAGAGCAGACACGACAGCTAACGGTCAACGCTCTGACAGCTATGACAGAAGAACAGTCTGGATTCACTAAGATCTTGTCATAGGGAAGCAGCAAGCAACTGTTCCATCTGTGCTAGCTGCTACAAATCCGAGATGCTGCTCACCTGTGATGTGGTTGAAGAAATAGCCAGGCTTGTAGAAGCCTGGTGGTCAAGCCGGAAGCCACAGGCACCAGGCAAGTCGTCTACTTCTGATTCTGCTTCTCCCGAGAGTGAGTCAACTCACCCACTCCAGAAGCGGGAGGGATCCACCATATGCCGTGCGCTCAAAAAAGGACTGCGCACAACATCTTCTGGTGGTTTTGCGGGAGATTGAAATTGGGGCCCACCCTTTCTCGAGCTTTCGGCCTTCGAGCTTCCAGTACTGGGTGAACCTGAGGCCGCGACAGCGTGGGCTTTGGCGTTGCTTGGGGCTTCCGCACATTTGGGGCTTCGGCCCTTCAGCATCCCCACTTCCACTTGCTAGCAAGTCACTGATTCAACTGTTGCGGATCACGCGGCTCCTGCCAATTCAGCTTCTCCTGCCAGACTTCAAACATGCATCCCTGCACGGTGTTGTCCCTTGTGACCTCTGTTATGACCGACATTAACGCACCCAGCAAACAACTCTACGTGCGGGACCTTGAAGCCCTCGGTCCATTTGCGATACAACGCACGAGAACTACAGGCATTTGCTCAATCAGATCACGCTTGCCTTCAACTTGTTGCAGTGGGCCTTGCCCCAAACGTGGCTGGCCTGGACTCACACCGAGACAGGAACGGTTCTAGGCACTCACAATTACTGCACAGGCCATACTCGCCGAGGCGCGACGTTGGCCGGGAACTCAGCCTGGAGCACAAACAACAAGCTACAAGTTCTCGGCGAGGCTATATTGCTACATCATCATCCTGGAACAAGTCCCATCCTCACTCTCAGGTGCCTCGGAACTGTTAGACTTTGGTTCGTCAGCGCCAACCCACCCCTTTTACACTCCATGTTATGAGCCGTGATGAGCTTTGCACGCGTGGCCTCGCACACGATGCAAGTACCCCAGCTTTTCCAGGTCTTGCCGTACTCGTACAACGCCTTCAAGGCTCGCATCGAAGCCGGGAGAAGCGACTGCGAGCGGATGGTTGTATCGGCTTCGCGCGCCTATCGCAACGACTCAGCTAAGTTAACATCACTCAAATTCATCTCAACTAGGTGACATGACTTAGGGCATCTTGCTCCGCCCAGGTACTTCGCCCAACTGGTAACCCTTGGTCTCCATGTACTTGTGGAAGGCCGTGCAGTTCTTGTCCTTAGGGGAGCAGAGACGAAAGGAATGGCCTGCTTTCCGGGAACAAGCTGAGATGAGCCTGTAGGGCCCGGACCTGCAAGCTCAGGTGGCTGAAATCCGGCTTGCTCATGGTTGCACAGGTCCCCTTCCGGGTATTGCGAATAACTACATGGGGCCACTGCAGCTCAAACGGCCGAGAATTCATGCATTATCAATCGGGATCAAGGGACAGTACAGCTCCCACCAAACTCGCTCCTTGCCGTGATGTGGAAGGCTTGGTATGGCTTAGGATGGCTTCAAACTCCTTGGAACCAGCTGCTTGAGGCACTTGAGTTTTCCCCTTTCTCGGCTCTTGCGAACCCTCCGAGAGACTTGCTTTGAGTCAGGTCTTCGTCTTAAGCAAGCCGCTCTTTTAATCTGCAACTGCTGAACGAATGCAGCTGATGTGGGGTTCCTCAGTACGGAGCATAGCCCTTCTCAGCACCTGCGCCCAGCACTGCAGACTCCGTGCACACGAACCGAACGACAGTAGAAGGACTGAGCAGCTGAGCCTTTGCCACCGAGCCAACCTTTGCTCGGAGCATAGCCGGCGTGGCCGTTGCAGCCACCACCACCATAAGCTTTGCCACCGTAGGCGCCGTAAAGGCCATCATAGCCATGTGCACCCGCTCCATAGGCCCCATAGCCCCCGAAAGCATCGCCTCCATAGCCTGCACCTGCAACGAAGCCACGGATACGATGTTACAGCGAGCACTGACCGTGTGGGCATGCCAGGAAGCCAAGACGCTACTGCTGCAAGAACTCGCGCTGTAATCCGGCGGTGGTGCTGCATTGTACGACGGAGCTCTCGCCGCAGGCGGCCGAGTGGAGCCTCTCCGAAATTGGAGCGAAAACGCACTCGCGTTTACGAACCAAAGCTGCCAGGCGGGTTGCAGTGTTCTGTGCAACCAGCTGATGTGTGGCATCTGGACAGGGTGCTGCCGAGGAACCTGTGCCTTTACCACCACCGCCTTTGCCTTTGTCTGGAACTCCCTTGGTTCCTTCCGCAGTCGCCTTAGTGCTTGAAGGGCTTGGAGGCAAATCTCTTGGCTTGTTGTGGGAGTCGATCCCCACTATTTCCGTGAAGCAACCAAGGCATACCAACCAAGGCCTTCGACAGCCACATTGTTCGCAGCCGAAGTGTGCTGATTTCGGGAGTTTGGAAAGCCAGGTCCAGGGCATGTGCAGCGACAACAAACAGTGCTGCTCTCAACCAGCACGACGTAGAGAAACAGCTGTGTTGCGAAGACTATGTTGACGCTTGAGCTGAAAGATACTGAACCTGCGCGTATGTGTGTGTGTGTCTGTCTGTCTGCCTGTCTGTCTGCCTGTCTGTCAATAGCTGTTCTATAGCTTTTTTCAACAGGCAAAACGTCTCAGTGGTTTTTGCAAAATTAAAACAGCACACCACGGGTTCCACCAAGCAAGTGAACGAATCGGACATGCCGAATCAATCAGAACCCTCGTGCTGAAGCCTGCGGTTCTAAGCAAAGATGTGAAAGAGCTCGGGCATGTGCGTAGCACGACGAAATGAGAAGACACTGAAGCACAAAGAACTTGCCAACCCACTGGGGCCAATACCCTTTTGCAGTCCACCCATTTGTCTTGTATCTGATGCTGATTGTGCATGGCCATGATGCTGTCAACAGCCTGCACAGAAATACAGGAGGCTATTAAGTTGATTCCCGCCTTCACACACTCACACCCGCATGCAAATTAAAATGAGCATGACAAGATCACGCATGTTTTTGTGATGCAGTGATAGAGGTGGACGCCGACATGCGGATCATTGAGCCAGGAAAGCTGGGATTGATGCTCTGCCAATGGAGCCCCCAACAAGCAGCTTGAAGGCTCCTCTGCCTGAAGAACCTAAGGTGCGGTGCATCCTGCCTCTTCCGTGTCGAAAGACACAAACCCAAATCCTCGCGATCGGCCAGTCGCCCGGTCAGTCATCACCACTACGTCAGTGATATTTCCTGGGAGGCTGCATTGAAGGCTGACTCCGATGCTAGAAGACCTAGCCCTAGCCTGCAACCACATGCAACCGCAGCCTACGGGTGCAGAGTTCCTTGCCAACCAGGTGCCCTCACTGCTAGACATGTCCTTCCAATTCCTTAATTCCTGTCTCAGATGCCAAACTTGCCGAAGTAGTCGACGAGGATATCATTCGTGCAGTCCTGCATTGAATGATGCGCAATCCTTGCCCATAAGGCCTGTCTCAACAGCTTGCATGGTCAGGCGGGATCCTGCGGAAGACCGCCCACAAAGACCTTGAAAGGGCCGCCACCTCTATCCAGGAGTTTATCAAGCGCTTGTGGGGGGGTGCGGTTCAGAAGGCGAAACCCCACCAAGGGCGATGCGATCCATGTGTCAAAGGCCCCAGGACCGAGGACGGCAGGCGGTAGCCGGTGGCAGCCGGTCAGATATCTCACACTAGGAAATTCCACACCGACTTCCCGGGTGAATTCGAATTGTTGCATGGAGTTGAAGGCTGTGAGATGGACATCTGAGCAGATTGAGGCCCCCATCCAAGCCATGTCATGCTATGTCTGAGCCTGCGCTTGAGCTCGAGCGAGTTAGTGGGCCTTGACACGTGTCAGCACGGATGAAACTGCCGGCAATCACGGCTTGCTCCATCTTTTGCTGCCGACGTTTCTCAACATTTTTCACCGCCATTATCCTCTCGGAACTCACACAACTTACCACGAGACCATGGGACGCTAGGAGGAGCTGCTTCGACTTCGTCGACACTTTCACTCGCCTAGCAAGGACACTGCAAACTCTCCCGGCCGATGGCGGGACTGGAGTGGCGGCTTGGGCACCCAGCTTTGCTGGACGCAGTTGAAGAACAATTACAACGTATTACAACATATCTCAGATAGCTCTAGGCACACAGAACTTAAATACGCAAACATCCGTTTTCAATCGCCTCATGCACAGAATGCCTGGAAGGCAGCTGATATAAGAGTCGCACAAAAAATAGCGACTGCAACCAAACTCTTTCAGTAAAGGCGTGGACAGCCTTTGAAAAAACCCTGGCAGCCCATCGGTACGCGAAAGCTGCGCTTGATCTCCTGCTCCTCCAGGTGCGTTAGCCACACGACATTTCGGCCTTTGGGTGATGGTGGCCGAAGATCAGCTTCATCCGGATCGCACAGCGCCCTCACTCCCAAGGACTTGACGAACATCGTCGCGTCCTTGTCAGAAAACGGAAGGGGAAGCTGCACACGTCAGCTGGCCTACTGCCCACACCACAGCTGACGCATTGCGCAAGAAACAAAGAACGTGCCAAATGGACCACAGGCACGTCATAACCACTGACCTTTTCCCTGTTTATTCGCACACCAGATTTCTCCAGCTTCAAAGCAAAGACAGATCCAGAATTTGGCTGGAAGTTTCCCGTCTCTATGAGAAGCATCCTCATACTGTTACCCACTGTCGAAACATCCGACAAATTCGTGCACAAGGACACATCCATCTCCAGGTGCCGCAGGTCTCGAAGGAAGCGAATGCTGCGTCCGAGTTCAGTCAAGTAAAAGATGCGTTTGGCACCGGAAACATCCACTTTCAGTTGGTTCAGTTTGGTCAGATTCCGGATGCCTTTGCCCAGCTCCCGCACATCTGCGTCGACCAAACGCGGGCATCCACCGAGACAGCAGTCCAGGGACGTCAAGTTGACCAAACGACCCAAGTTCCTCCCGAGCTCGACAAAGTTCTGAAGTAGTTCGCAAGACTGCAGGTGAAGTTCGAGACGGTTCAAGTTTGCTAACTGGCCCAATGCATCATCCAGACCCGCCAAGCTGTGAAGATTCTTGCAGCCACTCAACCGAATCGCCAGGTCTTCCAGCTGTGCAAGCGGCCTTGCAGCGAGATGCTTGAACTTTCTTGACGGCTGCACAACCTTCTAGGCCAATTCTAGGATTCTGGGCTTTGGCCTGATTGCAGCACCCAGATCTGCAACGGAGGTAAGGCTGGAAATCATTCCTTGGCGTGCCAGCACACCGACTCGTCTGCAGCAAAGACAGCACTTCTCGAAAATTGCCGTTTAAGCACATGCATGCAGGAGCACAGCAACACGTTGAGGCGGGCGAAATGCCAACACGGCACGGTTCGCATAGAGACTGCGCCAGCCGAAGTCCAGTCTGAGGCGTCGCAGCTGCGACAGGCAGCTGATAGTTGGAGAGAGGTCGGCCAAAAACTTTCCCGGCTCGCTGAGGGTGTGGGATAAGCACGGCAAAGCAAGCTCCTGCAGACTCGAAGCAAACTGAGGCAGGCATGTCGCTGTCGCACTTGAAGGTGCTCCTCCTCTGAAGAGTGGGCTGCGATAACATGCAAGAAAGGGCTGATGGACATCTGCCTGGCCAACGAAAACTCCGTCAAAAAAAAAATCTCGCTTAAATTCGGCCTCGAAACCCCCAAGATCCCCCGAGCCTATGCAACAACTGGGCAAGGGCCGACTGAGCGAAGAAGCTGCGGAGGGACCGATCGAGGTCGACAGGATCTCTCCTCGGAGTTCCAGGCAGCGGGTCTGCCCCACACATCCCGGAACCTTTAGCTTATCATCTGAACCTACGCATCTGCACTTGTACCTCCGGATGTGTGCATGCATCCATCCCTCCTTCCCTCCCTCCCTCCCTCCCTCCCTCCCTCCATTCATGCATCCATGCATGCATGAACATGATTGCATTCATGCATGAGTGAGTGAGTGAGTGAGTGAGTGAGTGAGTGGATGGCCTGGGGTGCACTCCGGCCGAACGGAAACGTTCCCTCCCGCCATCTCTTCCCCCCTCCGCTTTCGTCATCCGGGAAAGCATTCATGCATGCATACATACATATACACAGAAATACATAAGTACAGGCGCCTTCAAACGCACAGATGCATGCTCATGTACGTACGTGTGTATGTTCATATGCACTGCGTACACACGTACTTACGCACATGCATAGATATAGAAGCACACAGATATGTGTCGATGTGCCTATCCATCTACATGTCCACTATACTGTATGCAAACATTGCACATGTACATGTATGTTACGTCTATGTATGTGTTTGTGTGTGGTGTGTGTGTTGCATAAACGTGTGTGAGCATGATCTGTATCTGTACAAGCAAGCATGGGTGGACGCATTCATGTAGCTGTCTGCGAGTATAGGTTTTAAATGGTTTTACGTAAACCAGTTGGTTGGCATCGATGGGTATGCACAAGCGCCTCGGCATGCAACCCAAGGCCAATCTGAGAGCAAGGGACAACATCGCAAACCCGATCGAAATGCTATGGAGCTGCTCACCGGAACGTTGGGCAATGAACTCCAAGATCCACGTCCTGGGGGGGCAGTTAAACCCAGGGCATCAGGTGTCTGTTCATGTTCATTGCTTTTCAGGTACTGTACAGGCCCAGGGACTCACAAAAGGAGGTCCAAACTGCAGATACAGCTGATCCCGACTTCGGCCGACGACTCCATTTGTGCAGTTTGCTTGGGCGTTTCTTGGCGGGAACACGTCAGGGTTCACGCGCGGCATGTCGCGTGAAGCAAATCTGACGATGGTGGGATGCATTCGATGAACGGACGCGGGATCGCAGCTGAACTAGATTGCAAGATACTGCAAGCGAACCGCCCGACATGCGCCTGAAGCCCTGTCATTCTGCCCTCCCACCTACACCGAGCAAACAGCGCAGTGTCTTAGGGAATTGAGCGAGGGCCAGCAAAGCATCATCACACATGACACCTAGCACCCGGCCCGGTTCGCTGGGAATGAACGCTTGATTTCAACTCATGCATTAACGGCCCCATTTAGTCAGCAAGCGCAGTCTCCCAGGCAGCCATGGCAGGAGTCAGTGCCGACACCTTGTTTGTTATTGTCGCCCTGTGCTTCAACAACTTGTGGCAACATTCGACTATCCCGTTGGACATCGGCGGTTGAGGCAGGCTTTCCCTGTCCTGTCCGATGGATCAGAGACCTCCATTTCCGCCGAGTCAATGACAATCCCGGCGCTGAAAACCTCACGCAGGCAAGCATCTCCGCGACCTAAGCCCCAACCGAAGATTTGCAAAAGTCATCAAAAGTCCCAACGAGCGCTCGCAGGCCTCAAGCGGGAAATCCTTCTCCCTGTCCGTCTTGCAAATCTGGCCCATTCCACGATGCTTCATCTCCCACTCCTTTCTCTCGCATGAGAGACTCGTCAAATCGTTCACAGGCGCTGGCTGGCAGGATTCTTGTGCAGCCTCTGAACGCTTGAACAGACAAGGATGTCTGTCCTGTTCCATCTGCGTCAGCCCGTCGGTGAGCACGACAGGGAGACCACGACGGATGTCTTTTCGCCTGATTCGCAAAGCTTGGGTGTGGCAGAAAGAACTTCCCAAGAACATAGCTCTCTCCACGCTATCTGAAATTTCTCCAAACCGGGCTGCAAGGCGACCACGTCCAGCAGACCACGCCCGATGCTTGGCTTCTTCATTCCCCCTGCCTGCTGTGCCTGCAAAGTGCGATTGGCTTGACTTTCCTCTTCCCGAAGAAACCGCGCAGGCTAAAGCTAAAGCCACAGGCCTCGATGCGGAGAGCATTTCGACAGGTGGCCATCTCTAGCATGCACCAGTGGCGGCGCAGTGCCCTGGCCTGGCTCTGGAATGCGACCCGAAAGCCTTCAAGCCCCACTAATCAAATCATCGCTCCCACCCCTCCCCCCTTTTTCGAAGCTCTCCTCCGGGCCGGCGAGGAGCAGCACCGGGCGGCCGCGCAGTGCGCGCAGCGCCGCGGTCTTCCGCCCCGGCTTGGGACCCGCCCGCTCGCCGGGGCCCAGTGCACTCCAGGCAGCCCAGTAGGCGACCCTACAAACCAAACGAACTCACACAGCAAGGGATACAGAGAGAGAGGAGAGAGAGAGGGGGAGAGAGGGAGAGAGAGAGAGAGGGTTTGGCAAAGAGGGGCTTCTGCTGCCCTACAACCCACAAGCCGTTACCGACGATCTCCTCCCAGAGCGAAGACCACGGATCTCCGAGTGCTTCCCCAAGCTCTTCACGAAGGAACTCATGGCCTGCGTTTCTGCTGGCCCGGGACCCGACAGAAGACCCGACACAACAACGAAGAAGCGTGACGAGGTGACAGACCCCGACACCACAGTGAGATGAGACAAAACTGCTCACCACAATTTTCCAAGTGGTCTTGCCGTGGCCTCTCCCCACCAGTGTGAGACAAACCATGTTTGGCTTGCTTCTCTGCTGTCGCTGGTCACGATCTCCGCATAACCTCGGCGCCCGGGCCAAGTATCATGCGAAGGTGTGTGTGTGTGTGTGTACTGTCCATGACACAATCAAGGGGCTCATGTCTTCCCGAAGCGTCAAAGGCTCAAGGACCCAATGATTCACCTTGCCAACAGGAGGTACCACACAAGGAGCTACTCGTAGAGGGATGGGGCCTGGTAGATGTTGGCATCCTCCAGCTGGATCGAGGGCAGTTGGCTTTGTCGGTCATACCATCCGAGAATGCAGCCATCTTTCGAAGTCAGACCTGCAAAAAGCATGGCCCATTCAGCAATGGTGCAAAAAAGTTTGCTGGCATTCCTGAGAAGCCCGAACAGCTACGACCACCACTCCTGCCTGTCATGAAGTCCATCAGCGCCGCATAATGCTGCAGCAAGAGGCCTCTCTCTTCGAAGCGTGGGACAGCTGTGACGCAGTCGCCGGTCAGCTTGCTGAAGTCCTGCGTGGCTGCACCCCTCCAATTTCAGTGCAACTGCAGTACCGCCACTTCCATTCCGTAGAAATGACCCACTGAAGCCTAACTGGTCGCGAACCTGCCAAGCCGGCGACATATGACATATTGCTACGGGGCTCTCAAACGGAGGGCACTCAAAAAAACTCTGATACAGCCAAACTTGCTCCTGCCCCGCAGGCGTGGTATGGTATATGTGTGCCAGAAAGTCGCAAACCTTAAGCAGGATGGATTCAACGGCCGGCAAAGGTCGAGAACTTCTGAAAGTCAAGCTGCAGCCACTTCCGGCGTTGCCTGTTTCATCGCTGGCTCAGGATGTGCTTCTGCCGAAGAACAAGATGTTGGGGCAGTAACTACGCAAGCTAAAGAAAAAAGTACACTCGTGCTGCGAACAAGTCATGTAGCCAGCACCCTACAGAGGGGCCCAGGCTTGTCTTCTATGCCGCTGCTGGCCGGCCTGCGTCTCAAAGACATATCCGCAGGCTTCCTCCAACTCCGAAAAGATTTGAGCCACAGCGTCATCCTCGGCCGATTGCAGGGTGCAGCAGGGTAGGGTTCTGCCTGGAATCCAAACATCGAAATACGACGGAGGCGAACATCCCTCGCCTCGCAGTGGATGCCAAGAGATGCACAGCACACAGAGATCTCAGAAGGGCCGCATACAGCCCAGGCCTTCGTGACACAGGGATGTGTTGAAAGTTGGTTCGAGGGTGATCTGCAAGTGTTCCTTACCACGCATGCAAACAAACATCCACAGACTAAACATCCCCAAGCTCCTTTTGCAGCAGGCTTCTCTCGCCCGGAACTGCCCCAAGCTCCTAAACCCTGAACCCCCACTCTAAATCTAAATCCTCTTCCCTCGTACCAGTAGCACGCGGCCTTGGAGCCCAACTTTTCCAGAAACTGGTGGAACTCCGCAAGCTTTAGCCTCCAGTGAAGCTCTCAGCGGAGCTATGGCACACGTAGTCGATCAGTCGATCTTAAGTCATAACAGCCGATCAGGCGATCATAAACAAAGGGCGACTGCAAGGATCTACTTGGGTGCTAGCTACTAGAAGGGTTCCCTGTGGTGAGCGTGAACTGTCGGACTGCCTGCGCATCGCTCGGTGCTTAACCCACTGGTCAACCAACCCCCTTGACCGACCAGGCTTCCCCCAAAAAAGCATTACACCTGTACGTGAGATGTGTTTCACACTTGTTGGTAATTTTTGTTGTATGTCAAGCCGCACTTCGGACCCACTTGCACGAAGTCGTGGTCTCTGAGGCTAAGGACTTCCAATCACGAGTCTCCCTCGCTTTCTCAGTCTCTCGCATTCAGCATCGGTCTTATTCGGTGTCTTTCAACAGTCGGCGTAAGCACGGCTGCGGCACTCGAGATCAAGCTGCTGCGGGGTGCACAACTCGTTAAAGCACCATAAATTCCTGGCCCCGGCGACATTCGTGATGCAACACCAGTCGCGCAATTGCACTCTCCACCTTCCCTCCCCTCCCGACGAATCCCAACCACCACGCTCCCTACCACCAGCCTCTGCAGCAGAAAACGCAAGTTTGTAAAGCCCGCGCGCCTCGCTGGAGATGACTTTCGTGCATCTTCGGACGTTGAAATTGGCATCAGGATGCTGGGAAAGCAAGTGCTGTTTCTGCAAAGAATACATGTCGAAGTGGGATGCTGTCTTCAAACTGACTGCCTCCTGTCTGCCATGTCACACCCATTTGGACCATAAACACTGCCGACAAGAACATTCCAAAAGTTCTCAACTCGTTATTGCTTTCTCGCACACGGAAGTCGGCATGTGATTTTCCCCCGAGCACGCAATAGCTTCGAAAAGCTGATGGCATGCCGTGTCGCCAGTTGCACTTTTAGCCTGCTGTACTACTTGCAAATGCGACACATGTCATCAGCATTACCTCCGACACTCGCGCAGGCAAAGTGTCGAACCCCAGTTGGCAGTAGACCCACCACGCGCTGGCTTTGTCAGCATTCGTGGCGGCCAGTGAATCCAATGTTCGAGCTCTACAAATTAGAACATGATTCGAGGGGGATACAATACGAAAGAGGGTTCCCACAGCTGCAAAATTGCTGATGGAAACCTTTTAGAACGAACCCTAGACGATTAGCACAGCCCAACAACCACGTCCAGAATCTAGCGATTCAGCGCAAGTTCGGCCACCTAGTCCTCGTACAGAAGAGGCACCAAGTGTTCTCGTACCTTCTGGATTCATTGGCCCCCTGCCTGGCAGCATTTCTCTTCTTGAGACTCTCAGCCTCCGTCAGCTGGAACCCGGCAACGGAGCCTCGGCTCAGCTGCGCAGACAGACAAGTCCTTTTTGTCGCTCAGCGCCATGGAAATCATCGTCATGGTTTTGCGGCGCGGTCCACAATCCAAAACTAGTCTTTCATTTATCAGTATCCTCCACAAATCCTTCGATGCCGCTGCAGCTGATACTCCAAGCATCCGACTACCCGAAGTGCGTTTCGTCTGGCTGCCCGCGAAGGCAATGCTCGACTGGCCTCGGCTAGTCGATACCTTTGCCATCTCGTGGCATCTGATGACATGCACAGCTGCTTCGGCCAAGAGTCTCCCTCCTCGGCTGCAGGCAGAGCCGCAACTTGCACCGGGTGATGGAGCGGCTGCAGTGGAGGCTGTGGCGGAGGTTGCACAGTCTGCTGCGGAGGCTGTGGTGGAAGCTGCACTGGAGGCCGCGTGGCTCCATGCGAAGGCCAGGGAAGCCGGCGCCCGCTGGACGGCGAAGTCGTAGCCTGAGAATGAAGTGCACCGCTATATGGCTATATCCCAATATTACGATTGACGCTCTGTGCCCAAAGGCGTGCGAGCTGCAGTACCCCGCACTTGATACGCCGCTTCCTTCTTTCGTACCCCGCTTAACACAGTGGAGCGCGTGTTGCGCTTCCACTAGGCCCGGCATGCACGGCTTTGCGGGCCGGGATGGTGTAGACATGTAACTCGTCCGTCTCTCTCTCTCTCTCTCTTTTTTCTCCATGCTCGAGGGCGAGCATTGGCCGGACGCTAGGTGTTTGCCGCTCTCTCCCTCTGCCCCTTTTCTCCACTCCCCTACTACTCTCCTCCTCCTCTATGCCCCTCCCCCTTCAACCCTGCTACGTGCTTCTCTTGACTAACTCATCTATGCATGCGAATCTGATGTTCACCGCTTAAACATACGGAGCTTACAGCTCACTTCTCGACTTCTGCATGTCATGTGTCTCTCTGCCCGTCCATCTCGTGGCATCTGATGACATGCACAGCTGCTTCGGCCAAGAGTCTCCCTCCTCGGCTGCAGGCAGAGCCGCAACTTGCACCGGGTGATGGAGCGGCTGCAGCGGAGGCTGTGGCGGAGGTTGCACAGTCTGATGCGGAGGCTGTGGTGGAAGCTGCACTGGAGGCCGCGTGGCTCCATGCGAAGGCCAGGGAAGCCGGCGCCCGCTGGACTGCGAAGTCGCGGCCTGAGAATGAAGTGCACTGCTATATCCCAATTTGTCGACTGAGGCTCGTAGGCGCTTCCATTTGGCACGGCTGCCCCGTCGGTTGCTTCTGATGCCAGACCCCGAAGGCAAGATGCCAGCAATGGTGGCCTGGACACCTAGCTCGTCCTCTTGCCTCCCCTCTTCTCCTTTCCTCCCTCCTGTCCGCTTCCCTGTTCACTGCAGTCTCTCTGCCCGCGCTTTTGCCATCTCGTGGCATCTGATAGCATGCTTCGGCCAAGGGGCTGAAGGCTGTAGGGGAGGCTGCGTGGCTTTGGACGGCGAAGTCGCGGCCTGAGAATGCAGTGCACCGCTAAACCCCAGGATTGCGATTGAGGCTCTGTGCAGAAGGCACCCAAAGGCGTGCCAGCTGCAGTACCGCACTCCATACTGCAACATCCCCCTGCTCGCTGTGTTGACTTCTGTCGTTCCCTGTTTAACCGGGTAGTGCTCATGCTGCGCCTGCATGAGGCACGGCTTTGTCGTCGGTTGCTTCCCGGGCCAGACCCCAGGACAAGAGGCAAACAAGGATGGCGCAAACACGTAACTCGTATCTCTTCACTCTGTGAAACCACTTGAAACAGGGGCCGGAAAGCAGTGAAGCATGCGATCCCCACATCGACCGCCCTGAAATCCAGCCAGGCCGCCTCATGACGTGCCTCGCGACGCTTGCGACCTTCGCGCAAGCAGCAAGAGTCTAAGAGCCTGCAAAGTTCCTGCAAGTGGCGCGAAGATTCATCGGGTTCCGGCTCGGACTTGGCGCTGTTTGAAGCTCCTCCCGTCGCCAACCACGCAGAATCTCATGACGAAACGCTGTAAGACCGCCCATCGCCTCACCGCCACCGACCCAAACAAGTTCATCGCCACTGCCTCAAAAAAACGTGGTCCATCTCACATCTCGTAATCATCCCATCCAAAAGCTGAGCCCCAAGCTGTCTGGCACGTCTGGAGGCCACGGCATTCCAGGCGTCACGGCTTCCTGGAATCACGAAGCCGAGAGGGGTGCGGGACACGCGCCGAAAACGAAGGACTGCTGAATCACTCGCTGGTCACGGCAACAGCTCTGGTCTCCTCCTCTTCCTCTTCGATCGGGTCGTCTGCACGCGAGAAGAGGCGGGCCTGCGGCTTTCACATTCTTGCATTATCTTGCATTGCTTGCCCGTTTTCGGGAGAAAAAGCCTTCGCGGCTCGCAGGGACCGCCCGGAAGCTGCCAGAGGAGAGGTCTCCTTGAAAGACATGGCCAGCTCGGCTCTCGCTCACCCTGGAAGTGAAAGGTTATCGAGTCATCGCCGATTCGGACATTAGGTTGAGGGTGGTTCCCTTCCCGGCGATTCCAGAACAACAATAAACACCAAAACCTGTCCTTCCTGGCAGCTGCCTTGTCCACAGCTTTGGCTTTGGACGACGTTAGCCTTCGTCTCTTGGGCGGCGACTGCGGCAGCGGCGGGACCTCAGAAGCAAAATAGAAAGGGAAGCCGCTCGAAGGGGCAAAAAAGGCATCTTGGATCTCATGGCCTCCACGGCCTCAGCCTCTGCATCCGCCGCCTCGTAGGGAGCACCGGCGAAAGGCAGCGAGGGCTCCGCTTCCTGCGATCGGAAGCAGACCCCATTCTTCGCTGCTCGAAACATGAACAGCGAACTTGGGGCTTAGGCCAAGGATGACGGCAATCAGGACTCGTGGCAACTAATTCATCATTTGCATTTTCGACTTTGCACCTCCCATTTTTACGTGTGCCACTAAACATCTCGACAACAACGAGAGCAGGAACTGTTCAAGACTTTCCACACCCAACCTAGTTCAGCGGCTTCATCCACTCAAGCTCGACAGGTGTGCTTCTGCGGCGAGGAGCAATTGCCGGGGACGTCAAAAGAGGTCGCTTGAAGCCATGAACGCCCAGGAAGCCTAGAATGCGCCTAAATGCATATTCAACAACTAAGAAATGCTGGAGCCTGTTGAGTGGGTTGGCGCCGTGCGCGATCCCCAGCCGTGACCAAGCATGGAACCAATGCCAGGAAACGACCGAATTCCACCCGAGCATTTGCCTCCGTCTTCTCACAATCTCTACTCCCCATCGTGGTTTGTTCCTATTTCTCGAAGTCTTTGGCCCTGGTTTGCTCTTCTTTATTCTCCAGTCCCTGTCTCTCATATTACCCAATGCTTTTCGAAGAGTTTGCTCCTTCTGCAACTGACGGGATGGGACACGAGAGTTTGCCCAAATCGGGGTTCGGGCTCCGCTGGTTGTGCTGCGGTGGCCCATGGGACAGCAGAAATCACTGACGAGCTGGGAAAGACCTTTGAGCTTGGTTTGGGCTCTGGTAAGCTATTCCGCGACAGGACTCGACATGCCCGGCCAAACGGATCCTCATTTGGGGGCCTGCTTCGAGTGATGGGATGAGACAGCGATCCAAACGTGTGTCTGAGCCTAGCTCGGCCCTCTCGAGAACTAGCTGGAGCGCAGCTAAGAACCATGCATACGGCACGGTGTGGCAGTCCTGAGTTATCCTCCTCAACCGACGTTTCTGCGGAGGCGGCTGCAACGGAACGTCCTTCGACATCCGTCAAGCAACTCTCAACTACATCACATTCTGGCCCCAGAGTGTCCTCAGCAGGCTCTGCTTCAGCTTCTGCAGCCACCCCGCCGGGAGGTAGTGAGGGCTCCGATTCCTGCATGTAGCACAGCTGACTTCCAGCATCCTGGTACACCATGACAGCACTACTGGCACCTCCACTTGGATTGCGCTTCGGTCCGATCCACCCGGCAGAGGAAGGTGCCTGCGTAGCTCTTTGGAGCAACTGCACGTCTGAAGATCCGCAACTTTCTCATCGTTGCAGTCTCGCGGCACTTTCAGACTTCCTTTCCGCAACTTGTCCTTACTGTCACGCCAGCACCCACATGTGATTGAACTACGACCTCCCCTCCATCTGCCGCCAGACTTCTGCATTGGGACCCAGCTTCAGCCTGAGGACCTGAACATCTCTTCTCAGATCTTTCTGTTCATGATCGATGTATCTATGCTCTAGTCTGCGATACTGTAGCAGGACAATACAAAACCGGCAGATCTACCTTGAACTTCCCTTTTCCTTTGCCAAACATCTTGTCCTTGTACTCCGTCAGCACCTGTGGCGCCGAGTGTCTTTCTGCAACGCCTGGCAAAGCTGTGCCGTTCCTTGTTCTGCAAGAGCTTACTGATCATCTCCTCGACCTGGCTGTGGCCTTTCGACAGAGCACAAGATGCCTGGAGATGACGCACTGTGTAGAGCATCGTCGCACAAACGAGTTGCTGGGAAGCAGGCTGAATTCCTGCGTCAGAGCAAGCGATAGCACTGTAATCGCATCGGCTTCAGGCATGTGCTTCCTTTGACTTCTGCTGTGCGCTTCGACGCATACCCTCAAACCGGATTGGCTAGACCCGACCACTCACCAGCGATGTAAAATGCACCTCTAGCCTGAGTAGCTTGCCTAAGCACGATTTGAACATGGGCATCACAAACTCAAACAAGACCGAGGAAGAACTTGCCTTCAATGCAGCTGCATGCTCGGAAGCAGCAACAGCTGCTGAAAAAGCCTGAACAAAGCAGATGCTTTCTGGCCCGGGGGGCTGGCTACAGAAGGGATCTGTGAGAGCACTCTTGATTACACCTCTCCTTGCCGGTGCTTTACCGTTGGATCACTGGAATTACAATAGTATGTGAATTTATATGGTCTTGTATTATATGATATTATATGACATTATATGATATGATAAGATACTCTATTCTTATAGACTCTTATATAAGAAGGGTATGGAACGCGAAGCTTCCTGGCGCAAGCGTCTACTCCGAGTCTTCGGGGGGAGGAGAAGTCTCCCCTGCACTGGCCCTGCTTTGGGTTGGACTGTTCGGCTATGTCATATAATATAAGATTAAATTACGTTATAATTTATAATCATAGTATCATATAAGGTTAGATTATGTTATTATTTATCATACTATCATATAAGGCCTCGCATGGCTCCTGTCCCCTCTGTCGAAAACACAGAGCTGCAGCTGCAGGAAGGCGAGACGTGAGACTTGAAGGCTGTAGGCAACAATGGGCAGGCACCTTCGTGCCATCAACCTTGCGTTTCCGGGCTGCATCGCGAAGCTTTGCTGCAGTGACCTGCTGGCAATGCCACATCAAGGAACAGAAACATGGCAGCAGCGCAACCTCAACAAATACGCTGCGGCTCAGCAACTCCATTCTTCAGCAGGCTCTCCGCCAGCTGCAGCAACTTTTGACATTCTGGTGAGACATCACCTCGAACATGCAAGCATTCTCCAAGATGCAGACAAACAATGGCTTCTTGGCGGTCCAAGCAATGAGCTAACCACAAGGTCAAGCGGCGCTGTGGAGCTTGGGCTTGCGCCGCCAACCCGAACCGCTGGCGACAGCAAACATCCTAGGCACGTGTGCTCGAATCTTGGAGGCATCTGGACAAGCGGAGGTAGGTCTAGGCAAGCAGCACAGGCTCCACAGTTCTGAAAGGAAGGCTTCTCACCGAAGTGTTTCAGCAGCCCGGCATGTCGGCAGGTTTCATCGCCAAAGAACTTGCCCGCATCTTCACATCTCTTGACTTCATACTGCTTTTGCGACATCTCCTTGTTCCGCTTAACCTGGAAACGGAATAACGGAAAGCTTGCACAGTTTTGCTTGACGGCCAAAGACCCAATGAAGAATTAAGGACAAACAAAGAAGAACAAAGTTTTGTTTGCACAGTCGAAGCATCATCGGCCCTGGAGAACCAGAGAATGCACCGGCAAGGCCGCCCGTCCCTTCCAGCGCGGCCGATCTCTTGATGATACTTTTCAATAGATGAAGGCATATCGATGTGGAACACAAACCTGACATCCCGCTTGTCAATGCCCATTCCGAAAGCCACAGTTGCAACGATGAGCTGGCACTCCCCATGCATCCATTTCGTAAACGACTCGCGGCGAACTCCAGCTGGCAGCCCAGCGTGGTACGGACACGAAGGAACTCCAAGCTCGCATAAGCTCTGGCACACCTCGGCTGTCTGCGGGAACCATGCGAAGATGCCGAGTGCTCGATCCTTGTCATGCTTGGCTTACTTCGAAGGACCAGCTTGCCCTCATGTTTGCGAGCTGTGTGTGGGAGGAAACTGTCGGGACGGTTCTTCTTTACTGCTTCATTCCTGCGCAGACCTGTACAGTTCAGAAACCAAAAAAAGTTATTACCAGACAAGGGAGGACAACGACGACGACGATGACAACAACAAGCAACAGACAACAAACAACAAACGACTAATTACAACAACAACAACAACAACAGCAGCAGCAGCAGCAGCAGCAACAACAACAACAACAGCAGCCACCGCAAGAACAACCACAACCACCGCGACCACGACCACCACAATGACCAACAATGACAGCCGCAACAGCAACAGCAACAGCAACAGCACCAGCAACAGCAACAGCAAGCGACAACAGCAACAACGTCTCTCCTTCCCCCCGGTCTCTCATTGCCATCAGCGCTGCCAAGTTGCACGGTCAACCTCTCGCCGCGCAAGAACGTACACCACACCACAGGCCGGGGTCGGAGATGTCGGTGCCGACACCAGGTCCACCAGCTCTTGAATTGTATGGTCCTCAGATTGCTTGGGGCGCACCTCCATGAACAGATTGGCCCTGTCGAAGGTGTCATGGAAGCACACGGCCTCTTGCATTCGCAAGCTCTTCAGCACATCTTTCTCAACTGCTGTAGTTGCACTGGCTGTCACTGCCAACATGGGCACGCCACGAAACCTGGCTCTCATGAACGACAACTTGCGATAGTCGCTTCGAAAATCCAGTCCCCACTGAGATACACAGTGTGCCTCGTCAATGACAAGCAGCGCCATCCGCCCAGAGTCATACAGCTGCGTCAGAACCGAACCCAATTTGCCGGAAGATTGTGTTTTATCACTGGCTGCCACCATTCTTTCTGGCGACACATACAAGAGCTGTATCTCGCCCCCGGCAAGATCTTGGAAAACCTTCTTTGTGGCTGCCTGAGTGGTATCACTCCCCAGTCGAGCTGCAGCAATTCCACGGCTCTGCAAACTCGAAACCTGATCCTCCATTAAGCTCAATAGGGGAGACACAACAATCGTGGTGCCGTCCCTAACCATGGCAGGGAGCTGGTAGCACAAGGACTTGCCAGAACCCGTCGGCATCACCGCAAAAACATCTTCGCCGGACATAAGTGCATTGATCACCGGAAGCTGCAGGCCACGAAAGGCCTTGCAAAGCACCAGCTGCAAGTGTGACTCACAAGCTTTGTGTCTTTATTCCCATGTCACAGTATTGCGCCGCATTGCACGGCATAGTCCAACAGGAAAAGTCCGCATTCCCCCGCTCGGCTGGGAAAGGTTCCCGAAAAACAATGCATGTATGGGAACTGGTATAATCCGACGCATAGCTGCTAGCTGCATTTCGAAGTTCTGATGTATGAGTCTAAGGCTCTAAGACATGGGACCTTGGGGCCTTGGTTCCTTGGGGAGCTGCCAAGACGAAGTGGGCAGGCACATTTCCAGGTTACACATCTTGGGACGACTGCAGACGAGACCGGCGAGCGGCGAGCATGCCAGAACTGCACACGCCAAAATGCAAACATGCCTCGTGACCCCAGTGATCTCGCAAAAGGCCCCGCATCTGCGGCAGCCACCTGCGAACGACAGGGCGGCCCTTCTCGCAGTGACTTAAGGCATGTCTGGCTGAGGCTCGTGCGTGAAGCGCTCGTCAGTTGCTGCGGCCCAGTGCTGCAAGTCTGGAGGCAATGCGGCCGTCCGCCGGACGCTCTCTCCGCGGCCAATGCGAGCGATAAATGCCTCTACCCCGTTGCGCAATGGATCATTTGGCAATGCCAGTGCTGGAAGCGCCGCGTCCTGTAAAAAGCGACGTCTAACACAAACATGTACCGCACGAAGCCTGCCTGCTTCCTACGACTGGAAAACTCTTTTGGTGAGCCTGTCCTCCTGCGACTGGTGCTGGCTAGCTCGAATAACACCTCTCAACTGCTCAAACTCGTCGTGCCGGCCGACAGTGTCATCATCCTCGGTGTTTAAAGCGCCGACCTCTGTCATGGCGACATGCCTCAGAGGATGTTCCCCAGGTTGGCGTCAAGTCTCCAGGCCTAAGTTTCATTTCCTCTCTGCTGAAGCCTGTGCAAGCATGTCTTGCAAGCACCCCTAGTGATGATTTGCCTGTGCCCGTTCGTGCAGAACCAAGGGGCACCTGCCATCTCGGCAGCACTGACGACAACCATCTTTATGGCACTAGCATATACGCCTGTACACCCAAGTGGAGAAGAAAGTCCTTGTTTCAACTTCAAACAGTCTCACTTGATACCTGCTTGTCCAAATTTTCATGTTCACAAAATCCGTCGTCAACTTGCTTTCGCGAGCACTTTGCTCGCGAACATGTGCCCGAGATTGCTCGAGCCAGACTCCGACACAAGTCGATCGTTTTCCTCGAAAGAGGCGAACTGAATCGCTGCCACCGGCATGATTCGACAATACTTGACAACAGCTCAACATGCCGTTTTTTCCCCAGCCGACAAAAAGGAAGGTCGGACCCTGGCAAAGTGCATGTTGAAGAATGGTTATGCCAGCTGCAGCTGCCCCTGGTTCACCTCGGCTCGGTGTTCTTTGTCGCTTGTGCTGAATGCTCTCACAACTCGGACCTGCCAAATAAATTCTGAGCGACTCACGTGACTGCACCAAAGCAGCACATGTGAGTGCGAAAGCAAATCAATCAGACTCGTTTGAAGTAGGAGAGGCTCTGGTTTGGGCAAGTGTACAAAAGAACCCGCCGTGGGGCATCATCGCCTTTGCCGGCGCTTGGGGCACAGGAGCTTAAGGCTGGGGCTGGGGGGTTAAAGCACGCCTATTGAACCTTGGCGGTTCAAAGCCCCACGCTTCAATTCGAGGCTGGTAGTAGGACGCCTGCGAAAGCCCTGCCAAAAAGCAGCCAAATGGTATCTTAGCTTTGGTAAACAAATTTTACACTTCTGCACCCGACAAACAACAAATCCTGAGCTGCGGACTTGGATGCACTCCATGCACGTTCTTTTTGTAAAATGTCTGGGCAGCTGCAAGACTACCAAGCCAGCAAATGATACTGGAGCCAGCGAGCATCATTGATGAGTTCAGCAGCTAGGGGCAAAAACGACATCGTCTCCACTCTCGTCACTGCTGGGGAGAAAGGACGGGAACCTGGGTTTGTTTCTGTTTTTGATCCTGGCCGTTCTCTCTCCATGAACTGCTGCGTTGCCATACCTGCCAGTGGCGAATTCTCAGCCGACTCTGAGCCCATCCGACGTGCATTCAACTGCTACAGTACTGCCAACCAAAGCCACGCACAGCCTAACAAACCTGCGAGAGCCAGCAACACGACTGAAACGGAAACTGCCACTTAATCCGAGATCAATCCAACTTTGGCATTACCGGTAGGGCCGATATCGTTGCTAGGTGCCACTATTCTTCACAGCATGTTCAGGACCTTGACAGATCATGACACATCACGGAAGCAGCCACAAATGCATGGACTGCAGGTGCGAACCTAGAAGTTTTGGAAATATGAGATCTCCACCACGAACCCACAGGATAGCCAAGCATCCTTATGAAGACCTCTGAAACTTTTCTGCTTGCGATTGTTCCTGTCACTGCATCACTTCGAAGCTGACATAGAAAGCCATCCAAGGTCCACGGCATTCCGGGCCGGGACTGAACCCCAAAATCCCAAACCCGACTAAGGGTTTAATTTTGGATTTAGAGTTTGGAGCCAAAGCATGAGAACGGGGTCCCAAGCCCTCGTTTGCAGCTGGGCTTTGAATGTCAACCAGCGAGTCTGCCCAAGCTCTGAACATCAGCACATACTATGGCAGCGTGAATCAGTTGAAACACGATTTTTTGAGTTTGCTGATTGGGTGGCGTTTAGCTGACGAGACGGAGCGGCTGCTGCGTGGGTCAGTGATGCTCAAGCCACCAATGCAACATGCAGGCATCACGAACAAGTTGCCATCGCTTCACACGTCCGAATGCATGCTTAAGGCCCTCGTTCCTTGATGTTACGCAAACATCTCACGGACAGACCTACAACAATAGTCAACAACTCAGTCAATGTTCCGGAGCAATGTTTGCAAAGGTCAGTGGGGTCTTGCGTCAATCCTGAACTTCGGTGGGTGGGATTCGGATGTCCGGATTCGGCACAACGCGTCACTTGATGTTCCAAATGTGCTGACATGGGCTGACGGCTCGAATCATTAACAATCATACTGAACCTTCATGTTCGGGCCGGGCGTGCGACCCTAAGCCGTGCAAAACATCGAAACCCAAAGCTCGAATGTGAAGCAGCGCTGCGGCCGAAAAAACCTCGGGCCCTCTGGGAATCTATAGGTGCCTTGAATTGGCCGCTCCTGCTCTTTTATGCGCTGTGCTGAGGTCAGGCTCCAACAAAAGTAGAACGCAACAAAACCATGATGAGGCCGGAAACGTTAATTAAACGGTATGCCAGCGTTATTTTCCGCAACTGGCGTGCGCGCTGCCGACCAAACTCCCATCGCATCACTCCTCACAATGTATCGTCCGAGGCGACAATTGTCGCTGCCTGGGGTCACGGGCCACAGACGCGAGCATGAACCCGAAACCCCGTTTATCACCCGACAACCCAAAAGCGCAGGGTGTTTTCGTGCAGACTTGGGCCTTCTTGTCACGCCATCACATTGGTGGCAAATGTGGGAACGTCAATTTGTGGAGCTCCTGCCGATCGTGATTGGGCACAGCACTACGTCCATACGGTGCTCCTTTGTTTTTTGTCCGATTCGCTCGTCGTGGGCATCTTTCAACATGGCCAGCGCCTTGCCACGTAGAAAATGTAGCTTTCTCGCTCGCATAAGTTTCAGCGTTCAGGGTAGTGGGGCTTTGGGTTTCAAGGTCTAAAGTTCTTGGTTTGGGGTGCTGTGGGGCGACGGCGTTGTGATTGCAGCTGTTCCTATGGGACCTGCGTGATCGGGACGGCGCGTTCCCTTAGGCCTGTCCCTCGGTTTAGTTTTACATTATGATGGAGCTCCTGAATAAGCGGTTGTTTTTTCGTTTGGTGAGTGTACCTCTTGGCCCGTGTATCCTACCGTGTAAATCAACATGATGGCAAGGCATCAGTAGTCATGACAGGAGTGATGGGGCCTTCAGCTGTTTATGGCGATCAGGAGCCGACAGACGGAGAGCGAGCCATGCAGAGGCGGAGGGGTGGGATGGAAACAAATCAAGGGAGACTGACAGACAAACCCAAACAGGAAGATAATGCCGTTAAAACTGAACAGATGCAAGCATGTGTAAACCCACTGAACTATCTTGAATTGAAACCACACGAACGGTCAAGTTTTCACCACCAAAAACTGCAAGTGGAACGGCCTGCTCGATTGTTTCTTCCAGCCGCTGTGCTGCCGCCCGTCTGGCGTGAACCTGAGGCACGAAAGGGAGGGAGCACTTAGTCGCCTAGTGTATGGTCGAACAAATGTTGTTCTTTGCTCTAGTGTGTAGAAGGTTTTTGCGCGAGGGTTTGTCCATCAGGCAGTGGCAGCATTATCGGACCCCGGCGCTGCCGGTGTGGAGGCGATCTTGATGCCCTCGGTGATAATCGCGCAGCGTGCCCGACTGCCGGAGTCCTAGGAGTGCGCGGGGCAGGGCGGCTGCGCGCGTTTGCCGCGAAGCAGGAGCACGTGTGGCCTCCAATGTCCTCCGCCGAGGGTGGGGCTCGGGACTGATGGGGCGCCCCGGGTTTTAAAATCAGAACTCTTCAAAACCTCGAACTCCGAGGCTGGGGCCCCGAACTGATGGGGCTCCCCGGATTGTAGAATCAGAACTCGAAAGCCGAGGGTGGGGCTAGAACTTGATGGGGTGGCCCTGGTTTTAAAATCAGAACTCGTCAAACCCTCGAACTCCGAGGGTGGTAGATCCACCGCAGCATGTCCAGCCATATTGCTATGATACGTTATGACTCAATGCAAGTTAGAAAGCCATTGCGTAGAAACACAAACGACGCTTGAACTGGCCTCAGTGAGGAGTCTCTTCGGTTTCGACGCATTCGAATGTGCTCAGACATCGCTGGCTGGCCGTCAACAGTTGGACAGTTTGTGATCTCGGCAAAGTTTCGCGAAGCGCCAACACAAGGCAAATGCAGCTACAACTCGGCACATGTTGTGGTCACAATTGCACAGCCTTCGGCTTGCAGCCAAACAATGATAAACCTTGAAATCATTATTTTCCAAAAAAATATCTTCTCCATCCTCCTCCCCATTATCCTCCCCCAGTTTGGTCTTCCGAAACATTTATTTTTTTTTTTTCCCGCACCTTTTTCCGACTGGTCCGCCT